TTGTCGGGGCGACTTGGTAGAACGCACCTAGTACGAAGTCGTCTGCCGTAGCAGTTGTCATAACTCCCAGTGACCAAATTGCGACGAGGTCAACCCACTTCTCCTAAATCGAAACGAGACTGTGACCATACCAGAGGCCACAACATCTCGGTCTTCATATCTTCAATTTCCGTTATTTTGTTTGTATCATACATTTACTCATTCTCTCTCTGTATGCATGTTACTTCAGGCACTTGAGTGGCTCTTTCATTCGAGCTAGCATCTACGCTCCGAGTCTTACTTCAATAGTTTTTACTTCTGAAGGTTAAGGAAGAATATGTTTTTAAACTTCATACTTAAGCATAGCTATTAAGACCAAGATGTTGTTGCCACTATTTTGGTCGTAGTCGTCTTTCGATGTGTAGACGTGGTCTGACCTCGTTTTCTCCACTTGGTCGTGTTGTCAGGGCGACTTAGCTGGGCGCACCTTGTTTGAAGTCCTTGCTTTCGTAAGTATCCCAATTCCCAGCGTCTGACAGGGGACTTGGTACATTTCCAGACGTTTCGCCCACATCGTATTCGACATCATCAGCGAGTCTTGCCAGTCTCAGCACGACATGACAACTCATAAAAGAGACAAGAGACTTTGGAGAAAACGAGGTCAGACCACTTCTTAGTACTTAAAACTTAGCCAGTCTAGGCTGCTTAAGGTGATTTAAGAACTGATATTGCAGTTTTTATCACACTCCAGTGAGTAGGCTTCGCAATGCCATTGCACTGGATCCTTCACTAGAGGATTAACATGGTTTAGTGGAATACTGTACTCCGTCGACAATCACATGTGAAGTGTGTGATTTGAGACACATGCGCCCCTTGACTCACGGCTGCGTGGCCAGTTTGGATGGCCGAACCTGTTTCGGGTCCGGTCGTGGGAGGCAGATAAGACTGAGATGAGGTCGAAATCGTGTTCCAGTTCAGAGTTGATTGGCACATCTTCCGGTAGGTAAGGTTCAGTAGCGTTCAACGGCATCGTGGAGCCCACAATTTTTGTTCTAGAACGAACTTCACTGAAACTCCATGAGCTAATTAAGATGGAAAATGGATGTTCTTCAAAAGACGGCAAGGGAAGTGGGTATGGATGTTCATGGGCCCGTTTTGTCGGCGAATGCGAAAACCTGTGTTCTGGGAATTCTCGCCTGTCTGACCGGTTTTCCTTTCTGTTCTTCCAGAACTCCTTACACCTCAGGGCTACGCCTCGGGCTTGGTGCTGTTGGTGAACTCTCTGCGTCCCGTGGTCCGATTGGGAAGTCTGTCCAGCCCAACAGCACTTCCGCGAAACACTTGTCGTCAGTTCTGTGCTTTGGCCAGCGCCAGCTCCAGTGCAGCGGCTGCCGTCAAGAGGCTGAACCCTCCAGAGGGTCCGGAGGATACGACAATCACGCCTGAATGGCACCAGGCACAGCAGACGACGCAGCAACCTGCCAGGAAGGCGAGCGAAGAGGAGGAGAGAGAGAAGAAGAAGAGAGTGGAGCAGGAGGAGGAAGAGGTGAAAAAGCGGTTGTCAAGCGGCGCTGATGAACTGGCCGCATTCAACAACGTGCTCTTTCGAGACGTCGTCTTCACGCTCCTTCTGCCGCACGACTTTTTCGCAGGCGCCGCGGAAACTGAGCCTGTATCGGTTTCGGATGACGAGAAATCGACGAGTCTATTTTGCGATCAGGCGCACGAGAAAGCGACAGCATCGATAGAGTGCGACCGAATCCTGGCCCGTCTGGGCGTCAACTGGGCCCTTGTGGAGGCGGAGGACGACTGTGAGTCGACGGAGGAAGAAATAGACGATCCCGAGACTGAGAGCCGATCTGACGCGGTTGTGAAGACGCTGGAGACAGTCAGTTTCAAGCCGCTCTTCTTCGTTGGCAACTGGTCAGTCATCGAGGCACCAGAAAGTGGTGCGATTGGGCGTTTTTTTTCCATTTTACAATCCATTCTAACTTTGAGATTGCCACTTTGGTCGACGGAATAGGAATGCGTGAGGGCCTGATTTTGCAGAATCGACGCTATTGTCTTTTTTCGAGAATGGCGAGGCCATTGACTCAACGACACATGTGGCCCATTTCAAGCCTAAAAAGCACATATTTGAAGAGTCATTAAGTTTCAATGAGTGGAGAGACTTTGATTTCGTATGGAAGTGAATGAAAAAGAGATTCGTTGGTCGAGCTCACCAGAAGAGGACGGATGAATCGCGTTGTACTGCAGCCGTTTGGCTTCTCATACGACGTTCAGGTTGACGCAGTCCACGAGACTCCTCCCTCGTTTCATTCGATGGGCATCCTCAGGGCTGGGTCTCATTCCCGTAACACTCGGTCAAGAAGACAATCCAGCTCCATCTTACCTCTTTTGTAGACTCATTAAGCAAAAGAAAGTTAAAGAGAATAGACAGATTGGTTTGGCCAATTAGCTTTTATATTGGTCCTGCTACTTGTGCTCGAATGTGTATGTATGTGTGTGCTAACGGCTGTGCAATAGCGGTACTTGATCACGGTGATCAAGAAAGGACAGGTGCTGGCCATCACAGCTTAATGAGCCAAGAAAAACAAGGCTCAAGGAAGGCATTAATTGGCTAGACGAACCAATTAGAACCCAAACCAGACTTCGAAAGTCCCTTTCCAAAGTACTGACTGATGTGGATTTTTTTCAGTTACAAGATA